CTGTGCTAGTTCTCCAGTGGCCTTTCCTCCACCCCCGCAAGGAGTTTCCAAATCTGCAGCTCTCGGTCCCACTTCCTTATAACAGACCAAGCCTGTCCAGCCGCCCTTTGCTCAGCACATCAGCCAGCTGGTTAGGAGGCCACGGCCAAGGAGACACAGTCCTTCCTCAGCTCTGCAAGAGGTGTGTTGTGCGCTCTGCAAAGCAAACAGACAGACAGACCCGAGTCAAGCTGTGCCTGGGCAGGCTGCGAAAGCATCTCTGGCTGATGCAATCTTATCGCTCCCCCTGTCCATCTGGTAAGCTGATCGGAGCCAAAGCTGCAGCTGCATAGGTAAAAGGAGTCCCTGGAGTAACAGTGCAGGTGCCTTCTGGGACTTGTAGTTCTCTTTGTCCAGCACATTCATGGAGTGAGGAAGAAGACGTTCCAGCATCCTCAACATCAACAGATGCCATGGTGGGGACGGGGAGACACTCGCTCTCAGGGTGATGTCTCCCCTCTTCCTCAGCAATCAGTCATACCTCAAAGCAAAAAGGGCTAATGCAATCTGTGACGGGTTGGATCACAGAAACCCCCTTGGGAGCTGCCACCCGATGTGCCAAGACTACCCCTGCTTCTGTTTTCCCTGCCAGCTCAGGACTCCAGCACCCCGTCTTGCTGAATTAGACACTCCAGTCCACTTCAGATGATCATACTCAGTAGATTATGCACTTTGTAATGATACCTTACAAGAGACCTTTTGCACGGAGCATATCCCAGTTGCATTATATTCACTTATTGTCAAATTTTTATAAAACTATCCCAGTTACATTATATTCACTTATATTTTTATAAAACCATATAGACTGCACAACGTCACACAATCCTTGGCTGTATAAACAGGGGACTAGTGAGTCAGTCCAGCATTGGGATTTTACCCTGTCTATAGCACTGGTGAGACTCGTACTGGAATACTGCACAGAGTTCTGGTGACCACGGTTTAAAACGGATTGACAAGGGTGCAGTGAAGAGCCAGAAAAATGATCTGAGGGTTGGAGAACATGTGGAGTGTTGACGGAGCCATTAAAAGAGGCACATGAAAAGATGCAGCTTTACAGAAGCACAAAATGTACCCGAGGCTGCACAACATGCTTAGGCACGAGTTAATACCAATTACCCTGTTTTTCAGACATGCCAGGCACTTACCTTTCGAACTGGAGTCCAATGGAGCTGCAGATGCTCAGCACATTTGAAAATCAGACCCTCGGGCTTAGCAATATTAGGGATTTTACACGGGTGTAACTACATTAATGTAGCTGCGCCAGCAGGAACCCCTAATGTAGACAGTCTACAGATGTAAGAGGGGGTTTACAGTGATGAAAAATCCCTAAGATAAGGCTTGTGTTGGAGCTTTAAGCAGCAGCTAGAGAAAGGCTGACCATGTGCTCTTGAGGTGTAACAGCTGGTCCTTATGTTGGCAAGCACAATGGAAGGTATTCCTGATGCTGCAGACTGTGCACCTTTTGCATGGACCTTCTGAAGTAAGAGATTTCCTTTGAGAAAAGGCGTCTTGGCTAAGAAATAGCTGGGGGTCAGCAAGGAAGGTTCCCTCGTGTCACTGGAAGGGTAAGGCACCCACATTGCGGTAGGTCTCATTATTGACTGATGGCATACTACTAGAAAGTGACTTACAGATCAAAAGGCAGAAATGGATATCAAGACATCTGGTGAGTAGGTGGGATTGGGAACCAGGACTCTAAAGTTTCATTCCAACATCTCATTCGGCGGGCCTTGGGCAAATCTCTTCACCGCTCTGTCCTTCCCTTTCCCAACCTGCAAAATGAAGATAATGCTTACCTACCTCCTGGATGAGTTATAAAGCGTAATTAACTGAAGCTTGTAAAATATTCTGGAGATCCTAGGTTAAAAAGGCAAAGTAGCCCAAACCCATTGACCTTCAGGGCAAGTTGCAAAATCCATCTGTTTGCTTGGGCTTTTAGGCAGTGCTCCAGGAATGGGAGGGGTTTTGTTTTCTGCTTGAAATTACCAGCTGATGGAGCTAATTTACTTTTACTGTGAGCAAAGGCTGTTATGCTGCTAGGTGGTTATTCACGTGTGCAGGCTGCGGTTCCACCTAATTGCCAGGTTGCCCAGAGCTATGGCCAGGACATTTTGTATTTAAATGTCAATAAATAATAATCTAGCATAGTTCACCAGATGATCTCAAAGTGCTATACAAAAGAGGAAAATATCATTATCCCTGTCTTACCGATGGGAAAACGGAGGCACTGGTGGGTAGGCAGAGTGACTTGTCACGCAGAGCCAGGAGTAGATCCAATGTCTCCAGAGTCCTAGTCCAGTGTTCTATTCACTAAGCTATACTACCGCCCTTGCATCCAACGAAGTAGGTATTCACCCACGAAAGCTTATGCTCCAATACGTCTGTTAGTCTGTAAGGTGCCACAGGACTCTTTGTCGCTTTTTACAGATCCAGATTAACATGGCTACCCCTCTGATACTTGACTACCTCCCTTATACATCTATATACAATTGCAGTGGGACTTTTGATTGAAGGACTTTGCATCATATACAAAGCAATGCAATTCACCCATTAATGGTGATAGCAGCGCCCTCTCTCTTGCTCGGTTATTACAGATGGAGTCCGCTCTTCTCTCTTTCCTTATTTGTTTCTGGAGAGGGTAACTCTGGTTGTGAGTTTTTTAATTTTGTTTTTAGGGGAGGAGGGGATAATTGTTTGCAAATGCTTGTAATTTTCTACCAAAAAAAAAAAATTAAAGAATCTTTTCATAAAGCTTTGAAATAAAACCAACTCGTGCTATAAGGTGTAATTATGAACCCTAAATCTGTTTGACTAGTGATTACATAGTTTTGGAGAAGGAAGTATGGGCTAGTAGCCAGGAGCTATTAAATTCTTATTCAATCTGTGGGTGGAAATTTCAGAAGCGCCAAAGACTTTGGCGGATAAGTCCCAAGAAATTCCCACTCTGTGGGATAGTCAACACCAAAGTCACTACAGGGAGCAGCGGCCCAGATGCCGCTGCAGCGTTGCTAGCGCAGATGCTCTATGCCAACAGGAGAGAGTTCTATTGTCAGCATACTAAATCCACCTCTGCAATAGTGCTGTACACACCGACGCGTAGGTCGGTGTGACTTACGTCGCTCAGAGGGGTGGCTTTTTTACACCCCTGAGCAACATAAGTTAAACCAACGTAAGTGCTAGTGTTTACAAGCCCTACGTCTTTACAGGCTGAAAGGCAGGATGGCCATTTTGAAAGGGAGTGCTGCTTGTCTAGGGATCAGAGCAATGGAGTCCTGCATTCTATTTCCAACTCTGCCACTGACTTTCCATGTAGCTTTGAGCAAATGAATTCACCTACCAATTTTCCCAGCTGCTGTAAAGTGGGGATAACTTGGGTGCAGACAGGGATAAAATAATGTTTACATAGAACTCAGAAAGCACCATATAAATGGTAAGTGTTATTGCTGTATTGTGGTTTTCTTTTGCTTGTGTCATCCTTAATAGGGAACCACCCAACAATTAGTCCCTGAGCATAAACTACCTTCTCTCTCCAGATTTAAAGGGAGCGTCAGCCAGTTTAGAGCACTGGAGCTCCAGCAAAACAAGATACAACAATCTTGATATTTTTCAGTTGAAAAACACATAAGTTTAAAGAAGAAACCCAACCCCTTCAGGACTTCTATAAACATATAAGAGGGGAAAACAGAGCATGTGTCCCGTTTCTCCCCCTCCCCCACCAGCAAGTCACACAAATGTTTGAAAAGGGCTTTGAGACCTGACAGCTGCCATAAAGAAAACACACACGTTTTCCTTTCACTAAGGTTGGTGGACCACGGCCAAGAGCTATAGGATGTAATCAATGTAGCCCATTCTGGGGTTCAGAAGCTGTGATGGCAACTGCTTCTGAACAATAACATTAGACCAGGCTGTGGTGCTTTGGACCAAGCCACCTCCAATTTATTTTTAAATATATTTAAATTCATATGGTCAATATCTCTTTTTTCATCAGACTCTTTTGCACTTACCTCCTAAAAGCCAGGGCTGGTCAAAAGTTTTCATTAAAACTGTTTTGACAGAAAATTGGATTTTAGCTTCAAGGAAACATTGCACTTAACATTCCTGCTTTCTGCAGAGAGAAAAAAAAAAGATTTTTCTTTGAAAAAACAAAATCCAAACCCTAAAATATTTGATTTGGAAATGTTGTCAGGGTGGCTCAAGGCAAACAGTAGTTTGATTGCTTCGTGTCCCCATTCTCCACAGGCTAGGCTCTGTGGCCAGACTACACCTCCCATGTGCACTGCCTTCCCTCTCTAAGAGTAGGCTATCACCCATCATGGATGTCCAGTCTATAGAGGAGAATACACGCATGGGATGCCCACACAACTACTCCCATGATGCACTATGACAGCATTTCCAAACTGAAAATGTTCAGTTGTCAGATTAAATTTTGTGGAATTGGAATTTCCCCTGACTAAAAACCTATTTTTTTGACCAGCCCTACTAACAGATGATCTAGGGGAGAGGCACAAATGGCCGTTAAGCATCTGCCATTGTACCTTGAAAAATCTACCCTTTAGTCTTTTTTCCTATCGAGTGCTGTTCCCTGTTTAGTTTTGGTGCATGAAGCAATTCTGTTTGGAGAAGCAAAATGAACGAGGATCTTCTTGTCTGGCACATCCGGGGTAAATTTGAAGCGTGTGGATGTAACTGGTTAAGTGACAATGATTCTTGCAACAGTCTTGACTATGAGAACTTAAAAGATAGAAGCAAAAATACAAGAAAGCCGAAATAAAGAAAATGCTGCTCAATTCTCCACACACACCACACCCACGACTAGCACCACCAGACCATTGTGCTTCAAGTGCACAGCCAGGATTCAGCAGACAAATCAGTGCCAGGTCAGAGCTAAGGATGCCTTTTAGGGATTCAGCCCAAAAAAGGCAAACAGAAAATATCACACAGATCAAGAGGATTTTGTTTAAAACACTTTTAACGTTTGTCGGAGTTTTGTACAAATCAAAGCATCCCTTTAAAATCTCCATTATTACAAACATACAAAGAAACGACGTTATTACTACAAAACATCAGCTACTCAGTTGCATGATCAATGTGTCACAATTTTAAAAAAAAACCAACATTGTATATACAAGGCCCTTCTCCTTCTATTATTATTTGTGTGTCCTGAGGGAAGCTAAGAAGCAAAGCCCTCATTTAAAAAAAAAAAAAATCCCATTGATACATTTCAGACTTTTTCTAAAAATATGTGAAGTATAAAATTAGATGGGTTTTTTTTTTTCCGGCTGTCACACACTGGCAGAGTGCAATGATTTCTTAGCATCCTAAAGTCTTTTTAAAAACCAAAACCACGCGACAGTATCTGATGCTTCAATGTGCTCTTCCACGCTCAAAGCTAACAACGTCTGAAAAGTGCCATTGAATAAATTCATCTTAATAAAAAAAAAAATGGCAACTCTCTACTTAAAAAGATTAATAAAAACCCAGCTAGAGCCGCAAGCCCTGTCTCAAAGGGTCAGTGTCTCATCTCTTTCCATTTGGTGCCTGTCTACATTAAGGTCGTTTCCTTCCCCTACTCCCCTGAGGTAGGGTCTCCAACCCCTGAGCGCTCTCTCCACCTTGTGTGAATAGGGCTGGCCACCGGGATTCCATGGAGTAACCTGGCCTGGAACCTGCTGACTTGAGAGCCCATCTGCACATTTCCCCCTAATGGCAGAGGGCTTTTTATCCCCCTCTAGGAGATGTCCTGAGGGCACGGCTCAGACAGCTGCAGAGCTCAGCTCTCCTCTAATGAGGGTGGGTTGGGAGTACACATTCCAGCTGGCCTTTCTGGAGCTGTTTATGGCCTCTTTGCTTCTGAAGCCAGACTGTTTCAGAAAAGCAGAGAACCTTCTCAGCTCTTTATCCTGCTGGCTTTTGTTGGGAATGGAGGTTGGGGGCTTCTCTGCCCAGCACCCAAGAAGCACTTCCTACTTTGTGTCATTACTGACCTGACTGAACTCACTTCTTGTAACCAGCCTCCTCCTACATCTGACGTCAGTGAAGTGGGGTGGAGAGGAGAAGATGTAAAAGGATCAACTTGATCCGGGACTGGGGAGGGGAGAGCATGTCTAAGACAGCCTCAAGCTCTCCTTCTGCCTTTACTGCAGAAAGCAGTGCCAGCGAAGTTAGATTAGCCCAAGCCATTAACCAGAGCCCCACAGGGCCACCATATGGTTATGCGCAATTATTCTGTAAGACTCTCAAACCAAAAGTGATCAAAACAGGCAGTTAGGTTTGCCAAGCCAATATTTAAAAAAAATCTCTAGCCCGGATTTTGGAACAATTTTTGAAAGATAGCTTAACTGCTCCAGGCAGATCAGTGTGCTGCGCCCTGCTCTCTCTCTGGGGAAGGCGATTTCAGAGCTTCCCTTGAAAGGAGGAACAAAACACTTGAAAATAAAGCTCTCACCGTGCCCCCCAAAGCTCTTGGCAAGCCTGAAAAACAGCCAACAACGGATTGGGCCTCAGCCCAGCCGATTTTAAACTGCAGAGACGGGTCTCCAACAAAACAGGATCCCTGTTTTCTAAAGTATGAAGTGGCAGTGGTAATACCTGTTTTCCAAACAGGTCTCTTCTGGAGACCATTAGTTCCAGGGCCTGGGGGACAGCAAGCTGTGCGGGTACGCCGCTCCCCGTGGATCACTGTGCTATATAACAGTATTCAACAGATATTGAAACCAGACACACTCAAACATGCTGTCGAAAGGCAACAGACACCAGGCGTTCCATCGAGTCCATAGCGATAGGAAAGTAACAAGACTGAGGTTTGGCTTCCAGCCGAACAGACAGGCCTCCTGGGTTAATGCTGGGGAAGCTCCCAGTTTGTTTTAAGGGGAGGTTATTGCTCCTGACTTCTCAGGCTTTTTGCCCTTGGATAGGGCAGCTGCTTGCTTCAGGAGTTCTCTGTTCTTGGCCTGGAAACACAGTGAAAATGGGTATTTTAATGGCATGGATCATCGTTACCCAAGAACTACCTGGACAGGCACCGCTGGCTTCCTGGATGCAGACCAAAAGGGACGTAGAAGTTGCTGTACTGGATCACACCAGCAAGTCCAGTATTCCGTTTCCACCAGCTGGCACCACCTGCCGCTGCAGAGGCAGGCAAATGCCAATGTACCTGACCAAACTAAATGGGAGGAGGGGGGAATTCCTTCCCAAGTGCTGCAGGCAATCAGCTTCCATCACAAAGCACAACAGATTATGTGATTTTTCGTTAGACAAGATAGGGAGGGACCTTTCAATTCCACGGGAAGTTGCCTGAGAAGCTTCCCTTTCCTTCCCCCATCCCCTTTCATTTTTTATTTGTGAGAAGTGCTGAATTAACAGCGCTGGAGACCAAAGTCCACAGAACAAGGTGCAGGATGGGTAGTGGCAGTGCAAGCTCCCCCCACACTGAACCCCCAATCCTCTTCAACTCTGACCAACTCTAGGGGTGAGTGGCTCGATTGGTATTCCTGGCCGGTTTCGTTCTCGGCCTCTTTAGCAAGGCTGCCAATGTTACCAGGAAGCATCACTGCATTGGTGATTTCTGTGACACGAATCCAGGTCTCAGTGAACAAGAGACGAGACAGATGATTTCTCATGTGTGAGCCAAGTCTCCAGCTGCCCTGGGCAGATGGATCACAAACAAGAGAATGGATGCTACAGGTATGCAGGGCTAGAGCGGAAAGGAATTTCCTCTGCCTCCTTCAGCTTTTAAGAACAGAGGGACCTACACAAACCTGAGCTCCCCCACAAAAAACAGGACATTAAAAAAAAAAAATCCTAAAAGAGTGAATCTTATGAACGCTTCCAGGTGCCTGCTATACACTGCCACCATTTGAACGTTTATTTTGGAATCATTGGAGAAAAATAGTTTCCAAAACCTCTGCCAATGTTAGCTGAAGTTTTACACTCAGACACTGGAAAGACAAAAGTTCTGGGCTGTCTCATTTAGAGCTAAGTATAAAACACACACACACTTCTCCACCCAGGAATGACAGGTGTACGCGGACAAGCCAGTTCAGTTATTTGATTCTTTTGACAGCTTTGGAGACTGAAGTCCTCTCTTCAGCCACAGAACACGTACAGTACAAGCTGCGGCAGTGCCAGTTTCCCCACACGGTGCCCAACAGATGTGCTTCTGCCCTGATCTGGAGGGACCATCTCAAGAGATAAAAGGAAGCTCAGTGTCCTTGGCTTCTCTGCTGAGACTTCCAACAAAGGCAACTAGTTTGTGGCAACATGTAACGTGAACATTTGTCTACAAGGAACTGGAATGAGAATATCAACTCATTCTACACAGGCCACCTAACAGCCTGCAAAGGGGAACAATTTTGGGTCACTTCGGAAGATTCAAGCAGACAACGTAAGAGGTTGCGGGCTCTAACTCCCATACCAGCCCCACAAGCCATCCAGTCTCCTAATTTTTCAGTTCTAAAAGAAGGTGTCTCAACCCATCCATAACATGACTGCTCAAAGCCTGGGATAATCTTAGACAACTTAAGAAGCTGCATAGTGGACAGGAACTCACAAGCACTGATAGATTTCTGACAGCAACTGTAATCTACAAAACCTGTCCTACCCTAATAATTAACTTGGGTGTGTGGTGATGGGGAAAGAACATTTTCTGCTGTGTCTTATCCACACCTTTGTTTTTTTCCTTCATTGCTAGAGCTTTAGCTGATTGTAAACTCCAGACAGAGTAATTAAGGAGATGAACTTTGCACCCCATATACAATTTCTTTCTTTTAACCAATTCCCTGTTGATCTACTGCAGACCAGAATCTACCCTGCTGATATACACTGTTTTCATGGCCCAAAAAAAAAAAAAAAAAAAAAGTGGACATTTCCTATAAGCTCATGGACTTCTTTACAATGATATCTATTTAGTCCAACAAAAAGCACTACCCTTTGTTTGTTAGGCTTTGTTCTCCTTGGCTACTGAGGTAATAAATCAAATCAGGAGCTCGGTGGTGCAATGGGTGGACAAACAGGCCTTACAGTCTTGACACCTAGATTCAAGCTTGACGTTGGTAATAAGTAAAATGTGTTTCATGGTTCCCATCCAGTTTGCAGAGGATACAACTATACAATACAAAAAAACTGAGCCCAGGACGAGAATAGCAAGGGGGACTTTAAGGATTCAGGTGCACTGCAGAGCACTGCGGGGGCCAAGTCCTATTCTAACAGGCAGTATTTCAGGTCAGGATTGAAAGGCATTAGCAGAGCTGTGTGGATGGAAGGCTGAGAAGTGTCTGATCTAGGTAGTGTTCTCAGTCACTCCAGCAAAGATCACAACTCAGCAAATTAGTATAGAAATGCCATCACCTGTAACTGCTCCATGACTTCCTTGTGTGTCTTCTCCATTTGGTTCATTTTTGCCCTCATCTGGGATTCCTGGTACTGCAGGTCGGCCTTTAGCTCTGTGATCTAAGGAGAAACAAGCAAGCAGCTTTTGGATGAGTGAGGAGAAAAGGGACGTGTCCAGATTCCTTCACCCTGAACAGATGCCCTGCCCTGGAAAATGTCTCTGTAGAAGCCACCTTGGAGAAAGGAACATGTTCAGAGAGGCACCATGTGGGTTAACACTGAGCTCCGGTAGGCCAAGGAGGGTTCAGAACATTTACTGCCCAACTACAGGCCAGAGGATTTGCACCAAGAGCTGAGGCTGACACCAAAGGTGGGACCCAGGCAGGGTCCCAGCATGGGAGCATCTTTAGTAACCCCAGTGCAATCTGTGACTCTGGGCAATTAATCTGCGGCCTGATTTTCAGCAGGGCTGACCTCTGATAGCTCTTATTCATTTTTGCCCTGCTGAGCACCAACAGGCCACTAGCCATTCTGTGCCTCAGTTTCTCTCTCTGTCAAATGGAGAGAATGATACTTACCCACCTGAGCACGGGGTTTGTAGGAGTGGATTAATTAACATTTGTCGCGTGCTAAGTAAGGTCTGACTATTATGAGGAATACTTTGAGTCAGAAAGAGGATTCTCACACCATGCTGTGAAAGCAGCCAGAGCTGAGGTGCATCAGCAGAGCTGTCTGGGACTCAGGACTGCCAAAGCAGAGGGTACCACAAGTGGGGAGTAAGGCTTGTCTGAGCATTGCCTGCTCTCCCTATGCAAACAGAGCAGCTATGGGCTTTCTTGGACTCAACCCCACATGCAACCTACCTGCCTACTGCCATTTCTTGGACTGCAGCAGTGGTCAGGCCCTGGCAGCACATACTGGGAGCACAAGGTAAAGGAAAAAGGGGTAATGTTCATTGCGTGGCAGTGGATGGTCAGAATTTGATTCTCTCTGCAATCCTGGCCCACCCACCTCCAAACAGCCAGAAAGCCACCTTCCTTCCTGCCACAGTGCCTGGCTCTTTAACCCTGGAAATTAACCAGCTTGCAGACAACACCCACTTGAGAGTTAGCTGGTTTTCACAAGGCTAACAAGACAGACACTGTACACATGTGCAAGGTAAAGACCTTTAAGTAAGTTGTCCATAATTCCCTCTGCAGTTTTTGTGTGGAAGCGGTCCAGGGCTGTACCTTCTTCTCTTTCTCCAAGATCATCTGATCTTTCTGGTGCAGCATCTTTTTCAGAGTGGCCACTTCTTCCTTCAGCTGGGCGATAATAACGAAATGGTCCGTGCCAGGGGAATCCAGGGCAAGGTCTGGAGAAAAGCTGCAAGAGAGAGAAGGGAAAGAATCTCATCACACACCCTTCTACTCACCAGTACATGGAAGCCCTTTCACAGATGACATCGCAGATAGTGACATCTGAATAACCTCATCCATTCAAAGGATGCATAAGGTACCTACGATCTTGTAACCAGACACCATGGGAATTCAGAGATAGTCGCATGGCATGATGGCTGATGTCCTGATATGCAATACAATTTGTATCTTGACAAGTTTAATATTAAGTGTTCAGTAAGAAAGGACGGGGGACTGTCAGGGATGTTTTCAACCACTAGCCACTGTCTGAGACTACCTTTACTTGCATGGAAACGATCCATTTTCAAACCAAGAGGTGTGGAAAAGCAATCAATGAGTTAATGACAGGTTTCAGAGTAGCAGCCGTGTTAGTCTGTATCCGCAAAAAGAACAGGAGTACTTGTGGCACCTTAGAGACTAACAAATTTATTAGAGCATAAGCTTTCGTGCATCCGAAGAAGTGGGTTGTAGCCCACGAAAGCTTATGCTCTAATAAATTTGTTAGTCTCTAAGGTGCCACAAGTACTCCTGTTCTTTTTAATGAGTTAATGAAACTTTATGCAATCACCTAGGAACCCTTCTTGAGGTCACAGGGAATCCATGGCAGTGGGAGAAAACCTTTCACTAAATGCAAATCAGGGCCCTGGTAAACAATGGAACAAGAAAAAGAAACAAATTAACCCCCTAACGTAAACAAACAATAGAAAGGGCACACAGAGGTTACAGCCAAAGTTATCTCAGGGGGAAACAGGAAGAGATGCACTGGGCTTTTTGTATTTTGATTCCAGCCATGGCACAATGATTTGGGAAAAAGCTTCATTACCACATCAAAGGACTATTCAGGAAGAGAGAAGGAGTGAAGGGAAGATATACACATCCTTCTGGGATACCACTCACACACCCTCAGACACTATGAATCTAGCTGGCTGGCTGACAGCTTGTTTGGGTGAGAGGCACACACTCCCCATCTCTGATAAAGCAGGAAGTCTCCCTATGAACTACCAATGTTCTGTGCAGCTAAGTTTATTATTGTGTGTATTGCAATAATGCCTAGGAGCCCCAGTCGTGGACCAGACCCCCCGTTGTGCTAGGCGCTGTACAAACACAGAACAAAGAGATGGTCCCTGCCACAAGTATCTACCTAGCCACCACCTTCTGTACTGTTTAGTCTGTCTTTACAATATGTCTAATAGTTACCCTTTGGTGCTAAGGAATAGCGTTTCCCAATATTACATGCTATTGCTGTTGTATAAATTATTTGAAAATTAATAATAAATAATGCAAGTGTCTAACCTGGACCATCTATTTGGACTGTGCATTCGGCCCAAGTATTGGTAGAGTCTAAGGCAAATGCAGTGTGGCCTGGTACACTGAAGGCCAAGGATCACTAGACTATAAATGTAACTGTTACTGACTCAGTCTGTGGCCTGAGACAAGTTATGTCACCTGTGCCTCGGTTTCCCCATCTGTAAAATGGGAATAGGAATATCTGCTGCCTGCCTCCCAAGGGAGTTTCTGCAGTACTATGAAAAGACAGAATCTAATTGGACATAGTTTGAATGATGGGACAGGGTCTCTGGGATGTGATGGAGAAAGGCTTTTCCTCCCTTATGTGGTGTGGTGGAGAAGGATCCCTATTGGGAATCCAAGGGGAGAAATTCAATGAATGGAATTGTGCAGATCATAAAAGTAACAGGACAACCTTGCTGGGATGGGAAAGAAGTCCTGGCCAGGGAGGAAAGGGAAGCTGAATACCACAGGTCTGTGCCGGTTTATCTGCATTAGAGAGTCTTATAGTCATAGAACACGTTAACTAACATGATGTTGAATGCTTGGTATAGATAAGAAGATGTATTTAACTGCATGTCAGCTGGCTGGGGTTAACCCTATGGTGGAACCCATAATGTTATACATAGCCAGTCTTTGTCTATACTGAGCATTTAACATTGTGTTAGTTAATACGTGTTCCAGCACAATGTAATTTCTGAGCGTAGACATGGCTCTTGCACATGCAGTAGAGGCGACTACCTGTTCTTAAAACTGCTCGCCTATCGACCGTCGTAGGCAGCCATCCCAAACGAGAGCCTGCACCCCATAACATTGTAATGGGCTACTTCTCTGCAATGCGACACGCAGGTACCAGATTGGAGTGAAGGAAGCAAAGCAGCCTTCAGCACCTTTATACACATGCACAATGCAGTAATGTCACTCTGAGCATCTCCACTCTCTGAACAAGGGCTTCAGGCTTCCACACACCACATAGACATGCTGGGGGAGAGAGGGAGCAGAGGAGAGCAAAAACTAAGAGACTCTCTGTGGAGGGAGAGCCAAGTTTCTTCACTGAATTGTCTGTTTACAAGTAAGTCCTTGCCTATCCTACTCCATTCCTTGGCCACGAGGGGCTCACGGAATCATAGAAAAGCAGGACTGGAAGGGACCTTGAGAGGTCATCAAGTGCAGCCCCCTGTTCTGAGGCAGGAGCAAGGAAACATAAACCATCCCGAAAGATCCAACCCGGTCTTTAAAACTTCCAATGACAGGGATTCCACAACCTCCTTTAGAAGCCTATTCCAGTGCTTAACTATCCTTATAATTACAAAGTTTTTCCTAATATCTCACTTTAATCTCCCTTGCTGGGGATTAAGCCCATTACTTTTTGTCCTACCTTCAGTGGACCTGGAGAACTATTTTTATAACAGCCCTTAACATATTTGAAGACTGTTATCAGGTCCCCCTTTAGTCTTCTTTTCTCAAGACTAAACATGCCCAATATTTTTAACCTTTTCTCACAGGTCAGGTTTTCTAAACCTCTTATCATTTTTGTTTCTCTCCTCTGGACTCTCTCCAGTTTGTCCCCATCTTTCCTAAAGTGTGGCACCTAGAAATGGACACAGTCCTCCAGCTGAGGTCTCACCAGCGCTGAGTAGAGTGGGACAATTACCTCCCATGTCTTACATACAACACTCCTGTTAATATACCCCAGAATGATATTAGCATTTTTCACAGCCGCATCACATTGTTGACTCATTCATTTTGTGATCCACTATAATTGCTGAATCCTTTTCAGCAGTACTACCACCGACCCAGTTATTCCCCATTTTGTAATTGTGCATCTCATTTTTTCTTCCTCAGAGTAGTACTTTGCACTGGTCTTTATGGAATTTCATCTTGTTGATTTCAGACCAATTCTCCAACTTGTCAAAGTCATTTTGAATTCTAATCCAGTCCTCCAAAGTGCTTACAACATCTCCCAGTTTAGTGCCATCTGTAAATTTTATAAGTATAATCTCCACTCCATTTTCCAAGTCATTAATGAAAATATTGACTAGTACCAGACCTAGGACAGACCCTTGCAGGACCCCACTAAATACATCCTCCCAGTTTGATAGTGAACCACTGATAACTACTATTTGAGTACAGCCTTTCAACCAACTGTGTAACCACCTTATAGTAACTACATCTAGACCACATTTGCCTAGTTTGTGTGTGATAATGTCAAAAGACTCACTAAAATCAAGATATATCACATCTACTGCTTCCCTCCATCCACTCGGCCAGTAACTCTGTCAAAGAAGGAAATGTGGTTGATATGGCATGATTTTCTCTTGACAAATCCACGCTGGCTGCTCCTTATCGACCTATTATCCTCTAGGAGCTTGCAAATTGATTGTTTAATAATTCGTTGTGGTATCTTTTCAGATATTGAAGTTAGGTTGATCAGTCTATAATTCCCTGGTCTTTGTTCCCCTTTTTAAAGATAGGTTGTATGTTTGCCCTTCTCCAGTCCTCTGGGACCTCATCTGTCCTCCAGGAGTTCTTAAAGATAATCACTAATGGTTCCAAGTTTGCTTCATGAATCCTGCTGTATCCCAAGATAATAAACATTGCCAAGAGATTCAGACTTCCCATGGCCACCCACTCAGGAAATTCTGCACTCCCTGGTTTGCTCCTGGGCAAGAGTACTTATTAAGGCAGAAGAGGAGACTGGAAGAAAGACCCATCTGCTCACCTCGGCAGAGAACAAAAGGGAGAGATCTTGAGACTGTTTTAAAGACAGGTTCTCATCCTATTGCATCATTAACAAATATTGGCAAGTCACAAGTAAAGACGGAGGCCCCAAACTGAAAAAGAGCCTCAACTCACCCTTGAGTTTGGTGCCTAGAAACAGACAGTGGGGGGTAATTATGCAGGTGCAAACTGTGAGTATATTTCAGAGTGGCCAGGCATCTGCCTATCTGATCTGTGTGCACAATCAGGTACTCAGAGGTCCAACTGCTGTAACATGCCTCTGCAATTACTTCAAGGTGAAAAAAAACCAGAGGGTACTTTTTTAAAGTCATGTCAATAAGAGAAGGGTTTCTTTTCCCTGTCTTGAGTGAATCTCAAACCTAACTTCAAGTTAGGAGTGGAAGCTACAAAGTTAGCTACAAAATTAGAAATAAAACTGAAAAACAAACAAATACTTTTTTGTAAAAAAAGTGCCTCTTAAGAAGTCCAACCAAAATATACCCCTGATATATACAAACTGTGGTACAATGATCCCTGCACACTTTAGGGAAGGCCCAATTCTGGGGTTGACACGCCTTTCCTATAACCACTGCCTTTCTCAGGGACGATGTTTCAGTTGTTTGGAGACATTGCTACTAAAGTCAGGCTGGTTTAAAGGGTCAGCATTCAAATTACACTAAAAATAACTTAGAAATTTCCTCCCAACTATGAAAAATCTGCCTAAACAAGTATTGTCTAAACGGAAATAGTAGCTTGGCCTAAGGTTGAACTAACTACATCAAGGCAGAAGCAGTTCACCCCAAACCACCCTCTCCGTGCCTTCAAACTGAGTACTTTACATATAAGCACAGAAATTTTGTGCATATGGGAATATTTTTATTTAATAGCATTTGCTGCTCAGTATTCCCTCAGGACAATATGGGTGAACATATGTGTGTCTTAGGGCTCACCTACAAGGATCAGATAGATGTTTTTATGATCTTTCTGTGCTAAAGAGATGGCCCAGGGGTATAGTGAGTCAGCATAGTAGCTTTTCACGTCTTGGAACTGGACTCTGTTGGTGGTCACAAGTGAAAGGAGTGTTGGTGTTTTAATCTAATCCACTGTGAACATTTGTCTATATCGTAAGACTACATTGAGACAGATATGGCAATTTCATGCAATATCCTTGAAAAACCTTATTGAATTAAGTTTAAGTAACTTGGGAGTCCATTGTATTAAATGCAATGATTATATATTATCATGGGCTGAGACTGCATGTAACCTCTCTTGGGGAAAGAGATGATGTGAACCCTGGGAATGTTATGAACTTCAAAGGACTGTACTGAACAATGGACTTGACAAGGACTTCTGGGACAAAGTGTCAAGTGGTTTGCCAGGGGAATCTCTAGTGGGAGATGAATGCAAATTCCCCACCACTGCAATGCAAAAGCCCAGCCTTTTAAAGCTAGGCTCCAGCAGAGAACTACTGTCTGCTGATCACCTTTTGCCAGAGTCTCGAGATCAAAGGCCCAAGGAAAGGATAGACTAAATTATTCACGAGTGTGCTAGTTCTGAGCTAAGGCTGTTATCAACTTGTAACCATGGGGAAAACTCCTACCAGAAACTCTGCTGGAGTTGGGGAGTGATCTATGGTAAGCTTATTAGCATGCATGTAGGTTCTTTTATTGTTCTTAATGTGTTTTCTCTGTAATGTTTTCACCTTCGAGCAAAATGCAGATGCTGACCCGGTTAGGCAGTCTGGCTTGCTGGGGATATCACAGTGAAGGCAGGGAACTGTGCAGCCTGGCAAAACCCACTCAGGAAGGAGAAAGACATGGGTCTCTGCCCAAGAGCGGTGACAGCTGTGGAGTTGGGAGCCTACAGTGGGTGCTCTTAAGGAACCATGGAGGGGGAATACAGGTGCAATTGACCGGAACCATGACACATTTGGGAGAAGCTATGGGCTGGGTGCAGCGGGCCGGGATTGAGGTGCTCTGGCACACCTGTTTGAGGTGGCTCAGGATTGGACTAGCAACAGGTGCTCAAGTCAAGGTGGGGAACACACCATCAGAGTCTTTGGGAGTGGAAGAGCAGTGAACTGAGTGAGGGCCACTGTCAGAGTTGTGGGACTTGGTAAGGTTGGATTTGATGCAGGGCAGTGTTGAGTTGCACTGACAGAGCCGGGTGGTGACGATACCTAACTTCAGCCTGTGCCACGCTCAGCCTCTCCGCTCCCCGCACAGTAGAATTCACCCACCAAGTTAACCATCAAAACTCCAGAATGAGACTTTTTAAAATAAATAACTCAAATGTCCCTCAACAATCCCCAATACATGTGTGATAGAACATGATCATCATCAACTCAGAGATACTAAACACGAACCTACAAAGCCCACAGAGAGAGTTCAGGAGCTAAACGCAACAGAGGAGTTCCCACCTGCATCCACCAGGATGGAAAGCCCCCAAAGGTGAAGGGTAGAGATAAGCTGGACCACGAAGGGGTTGCTACCAATTCACTGAGCCCAAGAACACTCACAGTTTGCCTAGGCTGCATTGACAATTTGCCTAGAGCCCAAGGCCAGCACCTACTCTGCATAAAGACGCAGCTGCCCTCAGCTCTAACACAGAGGAGTCACCCATGTAGAAGCAGTCTCTGTGAGTTAAAGATAGGGGCAGCTGCATCATAGAACTTAACTATTGTTTGGAACATCGACAAGGAATTACAGCCCCAGGATTAAACTACACTAGCCACTAAGTGTTACTGTTGCCCTACAGCTACAGAGTCATATTTAAAATGGCTGCAACTTATGTCTTGGACAACACAGAGCCCGCTGTTGGAGCTTAGGAGCAGTAGTTATAATGATGTATAACTTATTAATGGGATTTCCCTAAGACTAGAGTAAGTTTGTGGTGAGGATCACAGCCTACCAAGGCTTTAAAGTGAGAACAAGATACGGTACAAGAGTAAACTGAAATGAAGTCATTTGAATTATTTATCGTTTGCTACATTTTTTTTTTTTAATGGATTAGGACATGGAGCTTTTTTGCTTCCAGGTAACTTGTGAGCAAGCTTTGTTACCAGCTAATGGCTGCTAGATAGTTTATGTGAAATGAATTAAAGGAGCTCACTCCAGTTCCTAGCGAGCAGGTATTTTAAAAGTTCACAGGTGACACTGTCCTACAACACGGTTGGCAGACACAGCAGAGGTGCCAAAGATTGAATAGAGCACCCTAGAGGTCAAGGTTGAGGTGTACTGGTAGAGGGCAGCTTGCAGCGGTACTGCCTGTGCTGTACCTGCTCTGGCCAGGGGGAGGTGGCGTTCAATCTCCAGTCAATCAACTTTAGGCTCAGTTTAAAGAACTGTGCAACCGCTACACCCTAAAAGAATTCTTTAAACTCAGTTTCATACTTTGGCATTTCTTACATCAATAGCCACAGACAATGGGCTAACAGGTGTCCTTAGGACAGAGGTGATTTGGAATTAAATGATGAACAATTGAGATGGACGGTGAGCGCTTTACCAGTGACTTCAACAGACTTAATAAGACTCTCCGGCACTAATGAGCCTACGCTGTGCTCTATGTTCCCAATTCAATGCGGTTTGGAAGAAGAGCCATCGATAGGGACAGTTTCCATATGTGAGACAATTCCCAGGGCAGGAGGGCAACCAGGGGTGGGAGAAAACGATAGGTGATCTCACTTCAGGACGTCAGTGCCTTGAGAAACAGGATAATGATGGGCACCGGGACTCTGTTGGGAAGCAGCCCACTGCACCAACACGGACGGGGCACTCTGGGTAGGGGGGCAAAGCATCTCGGGAGAGGAAGGAACGCTGAGAATCAGAGAGGAAAGGGAGGAATGAAAATATGCATGTACAAGAGTGTAAAAAAAATATCCATCTCACTCTCTCCTTATACAGCTAGTGAGGTCCGTTCTGCTGCTTCTGCTGCATGCAAGCTCTGATGTCAATGGGAGCTGCATGCATATAGCAGTGGCAGAATCGGATCCACCGTGTTCAGAGGAAGCTGTTTATCACTTTCCCTCCCCCAGGACAGGGGGGAGATAAGATTTCTATGATTGTCTCCCTGCATTCTATTCTTTATTCTGACTGCAGCCTAGCTTTTATTCTAATAGATAAGGTTCTAGCCCAGGAGAGCCCAAACTGCAGATCAGAGCCCCATCATGCAGCCTGTGGCCACCCTTCCCCTGTCACTGCAGGGTGACGATAAAGCTGATCCAGGCTGCAGGCTGTAATTGCTGGTGAACTCAACCAACAAGCAGTTTCTAGTAGGTACAAACATAGGGCATCTTTTGATTTTCAAGCGTACATTTAGGTGCCAGGTAGGCTTGGCCTGTGGGGTCCCAGAAAGCTGCTAATGCAGCCCTTGCAGTCCCAATGTTTGAGAGCCCCATTCTATCATATAAGCATCCTGCTAGTTGCACTGAATTCTCTCTTACACAAACTTAAATGAGAGCACCCACTGGCATCTTCCCCAACCAACTGGCTCACCTGTCACCATTGGCTGATATGGCTTCAAACTTGGGTTTCTTCTTTGGAATTTCGTTCTGAATAGAGGAGGTGGATAAGGTTTTCTGGCTATGAAGGAAAAACAATGAAGACACATGTCAGAACCTAAAAGGCCTGTGAATCAGAGACTGTCTGGAAACAAGAAAGGGGCACAGATAACTATCATCTCCCACTAAAGCACACCCACAACAAGCTTAGAGAGAAGAGAGCTCCAAGCATAGCGATGGCCAGATAAAAGATCATTCCTTAAAGAGAAACTAGAGTTTATTTTATACAATGTGCCAATCAAACCTCTAGGCTCATCGTCATTCAATGTTCAAAACCGTATATTTTAAAATAAATCTAAGTTGACCCAATATCAACAAGAACTGTAATACACTCCACAATGCACAGAAAAGGATACCTTCCCCAATCAGCTCATCCCAAGCTCACCCCACTGAGAATACCGCAGCAGCAGCCCCCAGATGTTCAAACTAGGGAACATCACCAAGAGTCTCCTAGGTGATCTCAGCTGCAGTGTTTAATCTGAATGCTGGGGAAACATGTCTAGTGGTCGAGTCAGGAGTCCTAGCTCTGCCAACTGACTTGCCGTGTCATCTGGGACAAGTCATTTCCCTTTTTGTACCCCAGTTTCGGTCACCCAGAAGAGCAAGGCTACTGAATGAGTTAATGCACTTCTGTCATTAATTTGACAAATGCAGTTTAGCTTTAATTATTTGAGAAAACAGCATAACATCAGTAAACATTCTGTAAAACAGATCTCACTATAGAGTTGTCACACGATTAGGAGTTTAGGTCAGAACTACTGGGTTTGCATATTCATTAAGTCAGAATTATCCAGGCTTTACGAAAAAAGATGTACAACGATGATAAAAGTCACCACAGCTACGCAGTAGTGAGGTCCAAGACACTTCTCCCACTTTTGTTGGAAGTGGGGCTGATGAGTTTGAAGCAGTCAGCCCTCCAGCGGGAGGAAAGTGATAGAACAGAGCATCTATGCAGCATTTACATGCAAGTTAAAATAAATTAAATTAAAATGAATTAATGGAGATATCCTATCTCCTAGAACTGCAAGGGACCTTTGAAAGGTCATCGAGTCCAGCCCCCTACCTTCACTAGCAGGACCAAGTACTGATTTTGCCCCAGATCCCTAAGTGGCCCCCTCAAGGATTGAACTCACAACCCTGGGTTTAGCAGGCCAGTGCTCAAACCACTGAGCTATCCCTCCCACCCCAGTTACCTGTTGTAGTGGCTGCCACTGCTGAGCCTGCTGAACTGCTCCTTCTCTTGCAGGCTCGTCCGTGAAGAGCTGCTTAGATGTTTGCGTTGCTCTTTGGTCTTCTGTAGGACCCGTTTGTAGGACAATGTACACAGCCAGCACAGCAGCTTCCCGTCCACCTGAAAGGCAAGGTAGGAGTCAGAGGATTTTATCTTGCTTCCTCCCCACATCCCAAGCACGGAGTAGGCAAGTAGCCTGATGGCAACTTCAGATCGACCACCCTCAGGATTTACAGACACAAGCTATGCAGTCTCAAACAACACACAGGCAGTGACTCGAGGGGTCCCTGATGTGGTTAGAAAGGGTGTTGACTGCATTCAGCACTGCCAGTGCAACCAGCACAGTCACAGTGATATAAACTTGGCACAGCTACCATCTGTTCTGAGCTGACACTTCCTGGCTTGTTTATATCGCATGTTCCCCATGACACTGTAGAGTAAGAAATCACATCCTGTGCAATTTGGGTTTTTATAAACACAAAGCTCAACACCTGGACCTCCAAGGCACATGCTTTGGGAACTCGAACACTAATACTCTATGCCAGTGGTTTTCAACTTTTTTTCATTTGTGGACCCCTAAAAAATTTTGAATGGAGGTGTGGATCCCTTTGGAAATCTTAGATACAGTCTGTGGACCCCCAGGGGTCTGCAGACCACAGGTTGAGAACCACTGGCCTATGGTAACAACAACCTTTTGTGGATCCCTTAAGGATTAGACATAGTCTGCCGACACCAACAGGTCCGCAGACCACAAGTTGAAAACTATTGCTCTAAAGGGGCTTTATCCAGATGGTGGGAACTATTTATGTAGCATCCAAAACTGCAGGCCTGGGGCTCATGTTAAATCCACAAAGACTTATGCATATGCTTAACTTTGGGACAATTCACAGTATGTAAAGTTCCCTTTATCTCTACCACCCGTTTTGGAGTGGGATCCCTTTTCACTTGTGTGAGCATCTACACTCAGTCCAGTTCAGAATAAGACCTGATAAAGGAACCACAGTGCTGAAAATATAAAGTAATCCAATGAACTTAGTATTTTAACATCTCTCATTGCAAATGTAAATTCTTGAGCTGGCCAGAAAATACTTTATAGCTGACATGTTACTGTTGCTGAGATCCTGTGACTCTGTGCAGAAGATGAACAGGCTATTACTGTGGTTAGCTTTTTCACCTTTTCCGTCCCCATTTTACATAGAAACTCACCTTCTTTCTATCATCCTTCCTGTCGAATGCACACTGTTGCTTGCACTGTTCACAGGAGAGGGGTGGCCCATACTTCTTCTCTGAGTTCGTACAGCGTTGGCACTTGTTGCCAATAAATGCTGCTATTATGTTGCAGTACTGGCATGGTTTTGGCTTTAAAAAGAAGGACAGATACTGTACAGGTTAGCAATGCTTTGTAAATACATGGCACATGTGCATTTTTCTGTCACTCAAACACTCTCATCTTCATAGTGACCCAAGAATTGTACATGCATCTAGATAAGCTAGTGATCAGGCATCCAAACTAATTGCAGTATATGTGATTGGCCAGAATACCTGAACTTATACCGACTTCTGCATAAGGTATCATGGGATCTTTAATGACAAGTGGTCAGGACCTAAGCTTCAAACCTCATCCTAAAGGGAAGAAATGTTTCTTCCAGTTTCCTGGTCAAATTTCAATTTAGGTGATCACATTCTGACTTCTCTAAATCCCCCATTTAGTTTCAATTGGATATGGGATAGGTCACTTACTGTCCTAAAGTCATGAGAAGTATTGCCATTCACCATAAAAAAGTGTCTTACGTTTCACCCAAAAGGACACTGCATTTCAGTAGTGGGTGAGATAACCCCTATGCAGACAGGCTGTAACACACTTTCGGATGAAAGACAATGGAAACAGCCTTATAATTACGAGGTGGACGGGAGAGTCCCCGGCACTTACCGTTCCATAGAGCTTCACGTTCTGAGCACATTTCTTGCATATTGTGTTGGTTTTACTATTAAAACAAAAGATTAAGAAAAAGCAAGAATGAAGTATAACTGTACCAGCAATAGCTGGTTACAGATTAAGCCCTTTGCGCTTGAGAGCTAAGTTTCCCCTAACCATACAACTCTCCTGACAGGATATTTGTATTCATGTTCACTAGTGGCTTTTATATAAAATGTATTTGCTATCCCTGCCTGGTGATGATAATCAACCAGAGTGAGGTATTCTTGAAAGACAGCATTTTCATAAGGCAGCCCCTTTAATTTAATTAAGGCCTCAGCCTTTAATTTCAGCACGTATTTGCTCACTTGGGATTCTGGTCACCAACAAAACGAGTTAGTTGGTCACCAACTAATCTGCTGTGGACATTTACCCAGCATTAAACCACATGACCTAGCACTAGTGATAATCTCTGTACCGGAGAGGGCAAGCACTAGAATAGCAGGGTTGATGCAGATCAGGATTGAGATTCATTGACCCCTATATGCAGGATAGAAAACAGGGAACCACCTTGCACAGTGCCTGTATGAAATATGCTCAACGGGATGGTTGGTCCCTCTTCTTCATATATTCACAAAAATGAAATTAAAACCAAGCAGAAAACCATGTTTACTGCTGCAAATGCAGAAGGACAAGACAGGTATTTACGCTACAGCATAGAGAATAAGAATAATTTTTGCATGCCAAAACACAGAAGGGGAACAGCTTCCAGGAGCACCCAGGCACGTCACTGAAAGATACAGCCGAGCACCACCCAGGAAGAAATGCCACACACCATGCTGCAAAATCAAGAGCACAGAATGTGTCTGCCTGACAGCGATTGGGACTATGATTAGAGCCTCATCAAAGGGCACAATACTGGCCCCTACAAGCACTCGGATGACGTAGGACAGAATGTTGGATCATTGAAGGCAGAACA